CTGATCAACCAGTTATTTATGCTCAAATGATCAACCAGTTGTCTATTATTTTACTCTGCCTAACACCAGATTATTTTACTGTTTAACACTAGACTCATTACTCATTACTCACTCAATGGGTTAAAAAAACATTCAAACAAAATGTTTGGCAGAAGATGTTTGGCAGAAGATGCAAAATTGTTTATTGGTGTCTGGTGTGATACTGATATTTCTTTTATCTGTAAGGATAGACCTGGGGAGTTTCTTGTGATAGTCTTGTTTTCCTGTACTGCATGTGTTTTCCTCACTTCCCTGATTCTATCATAAGTATTATTTAGTATTGTATCGCATGGACACCATCTTATCAGTTCTGCAGTTTTTTGACAACCTACCGTAAACCTCCGACTATAAGCCCTGGGCTTATATTCTTTCGTAAACGATTTTTGATGGGCTTACACAAGGGGGCTTATACATGGACAATCTTTTGTGTTAGTAATAAACAAGTCAGTCATAAACAGGAAAATAAACATGTATTAATAACACACTTTGATTAATATAGTAAGCTATAAACACAATGAGGGGGGCTTATAATCAGGGGGGGGCTTATATTTAGGGTGGGGCTTATATTCAGGGTGGGGCTTATATTTGGAATGAGGTGAGCGTTAGTACATGTGGTGGGCTTATACATGGGGGGGGGCTTATACACAGGGGCTTATATTCGGAGGTTCACAGTATGTATGTTTTTCAGTGTAGTGTTCCCTTGCTCATCACAAATTAATAAAAAGATCACACACTACATAATTGATGTTGATAAAATTGATTTATTTTAAATCAAAAAAAATATTAACATAATATTACTGTACTTAAAGATAATTAAAATGTTTTTAAAAATAAAATTTTATGCACAAAAGTAAAGAGAAGTTTTTAAAATGTTGCATCACATTGATTTCACCAGTACACATGAATGATATATGATGAAGTATATGAGAGGTGATGCTTTTGCTCTAGAGATATTACATAATTGGTAAGCCTCTTCAATCATAATCATTTGTATGATTGTATGCAACAGATATGAATTCAATGAATGCATTATCTCTTCAAAATATGTCCATTTATGAAGTTTTACTGGGAATTTCTTTGGAGGAGTCGGTTTAATCTGTCTGATAGGAAACTACAAAACAAACAGCAAAAGTGAGAGGGGCGATGTCAGTGCCAGGCTGCCTAGCAGCACAATTAGACAACAACAAAGAAGTTTGTGTACTATAGGTTTTCTGGAATGCCACTCCCAGCACTGAAAAATAATATTGGCGTACGGGTGGATAGAAATTGCCCGACATTGTCATGAGTTTATTGATAGATGAACAAGAGTTATAAAATAGGAGGAACACATCTCCTATACAGACTTGCAGAAATACTAAACACTGACTGGAGGGGTTGCAACGCCCAGCCTCATATGCCTATGGACAGAAATTCTTCCAGGCAAAAAAGCATTAAAATACAATGTTACTGTTACTATGATAATAACTTTTAGCATAATATTTAACATATTGTCTTATTAAAAATATACAATTATGTTTTTGTGTAGTCGTACTGTATTTTATGAATTATGTTTGTAAAAACCTGTGTGCTTTTACACCTTGGCATTGGTGATGTTCCAGGACTCTGAAACAAAGTTCGGCTTGATGTTGAATTCTTCAAACGAGAAATTCTGTGTCTCTTATTATTAGGTTTCCCTGGGGTATCACCTTCACTTAAGTATATACCCGTTTTATAGCAGTATCATAACTGTCCTTTCCAGTTTACTCCAAAATAGCCGAATTCATAATAAAATGAAAAAAATACAGTCAGTGCAGGTACAGTAAACATATAAAGCATATCTAACCTTAGAAATTACATTAAACTTAAAATATGTAGGAACATATATGCATATGTTTCAAAATTATCATGGAAAATAGTGATTTAGTACAATAGTTTCCTTCGCGCCATGATGATTATCAGGAGGTCTATTCCCGCCATCGGCGATCGAATAGAGCGAAAGTACCCCATTTTCAAACCGCGATTACTTGTCGGTTTAGTGGAGCAAACTCATGTTTTAAAGTAACAGTAGAAAGAAAAATCTTCCCGAATTCGATGACGTGTTTTGTTTTTATTTTCCTAAAAAAAAAGTGAGTTTGCTTCTGTATTATATCAAGGTCATTTTATTGGCGTGTCCACTGACCCCGAATCAAGCATAATTACAATACGTAATTAGCATAAGTAAAAAGCAATTCCTGTACCAAAAGTTAGGGTCTTAAATAATACAAATATAAAAACATACCTTCGAAAAAACGAGATAAACGGAGCCAAAATCGCAATGTATTTCAACAACTTTTCGCCAAACGTACGTTGAAAATCGTAATTGTGAATAATAATAAGACGCAATGCATTGTGGGAAGACCCTCATTCCTCCTCTGGTATGTGGCGTTTATTATAGCGAACAAGTAATTGCATGGCATATTGTAAACACTGGACTGGACTTTGGACTTTGGACTATGGACTTTGGACTATGGACTTTGGACTATGGACTATGGACTTTGGACTTTGGACTTTCGATTTTGAAATTATATTATTTTTAAGATTTTCGTATAATTATATTAATTAAAATCTAAACAGAGAACGAAAATTTGTGCATGATATAATAATATTCAAGGTAAAAAATACTATCAGTTATATAGGCATACCAGTGCAATTTCATAGATATAGCCTGTGGGTGAACAGGATCATCTCAGTAATATTTTTTATTTAATATTTAAATTTTACTATAATATTTGTATTTATAGTATGTATAGTATGTATAGTACAGTTTATACTGCAAAACTTCTTCTTTATCGTATAGATAATAGATTTATAGAAACAATTGTGACAAAAGTATCTTGGCAAATACAAAATATTGAGAAACTATCACGTATAAGTATAAACTACAAGGCACAGTATAAGGACTGAGCTACAAGAACTACACGCGATTATTATTGCGCCTTTGGCTTCGAACAATTATTCGCCAAAGGCGAGGCCGTGATTATCGGGGAATTTGTCAAATTTGACCAATCAACTTGACAATTTAAACCAAGACATTATTTACCATCTGAACAATTTTCCTTGGGTCTAGCTATTTTGCGGGCCGCGGGTCAGTTTTTGCGGGCTGCGGGTCAGTTTTTGCGGGCTGCGGGTTAAAACAATTGCGGGCCGCGGGCCAAATTGCTGGCCTAACTAATTTTTTGTTGCATGCCATATAACTTTCATTGGTGAGCGTACCGGTCACGTGGAAAATGCGTAAAATACGAGAAATACAGAGTTTTTCCGACGAGCATTTCATCACTCATGCTCGAGGAAAGGCAAAGAAAAATGTTTGAGTGTTCGCGGAAACTTTACATAATTGAGCGCCTTTAAAAATAGATCAAGGTAGATAAAAGCTTTGCTGGTTTTAATTTTCCTTATATTCTGTTATTTGTTGTGATTCTGGAGCAGTTGTGCTCGCAATAAAATATTAATCATAAAATGAATGATTATTTATCAGTCGTTTTTAATATTTACATCGTGAAGCCTGGCTACGCTATCAAAATACTAAATTTTTTATATATGCTCAATATATACTATATTGTGGTCAAAACTTCAAAACTACAGTACATTTTGTAAATAACATGAAATATATTAAAATATCAAACAAAATTCTCATTATACTATTGAAATTTAATACAACGAAATAGTATTCTACGTCGATAATTTCAATCATAGTTTAATAATTATTTTCAATCTATAGTAATTCGCCGTTTCCATGTTTTTTTTTATACTTTCGATAAAGCTACAATAAAGCTAAATTTGTAGGTAATAACATTATTTAGTTATAAAATAGTATAAAAGGAAATCTAACAGTCAATCGCTTTCGATAAAACCTTGACCTTGTTTATATCACCGTCGTTTGCAACTAACGATGAACAGTCGCTCATAAAAACATTGCCTATTCGCGTGAGAATCTTAAGTTTTCTTATTTTGACATAATAGCTATTTTACAATAAATATATTGATATTAAACTTATTGAATCAATATTTTAAGTTTCAGGCCAGTTGTACCAAAAGTTATAAGCGGTAGCGCATTATAACCAGGGCACAGAAAGGGTCATACAGAAGCCCAATTTCTTGGTTTTTCCTATGATTTTCCAATGATTTTGGCGGTTAGCACTTTTTCCATCCAGCAAACCGCCCTATCGATTTTCTAAAGTCGTTTTTTTGCATTTTTTTATTAATTCGATTAGGGTTAGAGTTAGGGTTGGGGTTAGGGGTTAGAGTAGGGACTAGGTGTAGGGTTTGTGTTAGTTACATAGCCATTTTCATAGCCACTTTCCACTTCAACCGTGTCGTACACGCGTAAAAACGCTCAGGTTGATGCAATACTGATGAAAGCAGGATTGAACAATGTTTTGCTGCCCACATTGTTCATAGCTGTCAACAATATTGAACAATATTCAGGCTCAACAATAGTGTTCAATATTGTTGACAAGTGTGAACAATGTGGGCAGCAAAACATTGTTCAATCCTGTTGAGCAGCGGGTTCGGCGTTTTTTGCCGTGTACTGAAACGTAGCGTATTTCTTTGTTTCCTGAGCGCTAGAGTGGAACTAATGATTTCAACACAAAAGAAAATGAATTTTTTTCTGTGTTGGTGTTGTGTACTCAGGTGAATAATATGTTTGCGATGTTACTCTGAGTGCATATCCACACCGGGCGAGCTTGAAAAATATGCCCGGCCACGGTGGGATTCGAACCTACGACCTTTGGAATACTAGCCCAATGCTCTTCCAACTGAGCTACGCGGTCAGGACCGTTCGAGTAAGTGATATTTCGGAACAGTATCTAGTTCCTTCAATACCAATGTGTTCTAGTAATATGAATTTTTTTCTGTGTTGGTGTTGTGTACTCAGGTGAATAATATGTTTGCGATGTTACTCTGAGTGCATATCCACACCGGGCGAGCTTGAAAAATATGCCCGGCCACGGTGGGATTCGAACCTACGACCTTTGGAATACTAGCCCAATGCTCTTCCAACTGAGCTACGCGGACTTACTCGAACTTACTCGAACTTACTCGAACTCGGACTTACTCGAACCGTCCTGACCACGTAGCTCAGTTGGAAGAGCATTGGGCTAGTATTCCAAAGGTCGTAGGTTCGAAACCCAACGTGGCCGGGCATATTTTTCAAGCTCGCCCGGTGTGGATATGCACTCAAGAGTAACATCGCAAACATACAAAAGAAAATGCTACGATACGGTCGAAGTGGAAAACAGGTTTAACACCTCTTCTCTCTTCCGAAAATGACGTCAGGTCAGTTTGCTGGATGGAAAATGTGCTACTATTAGGATTGGTGTACAGTTATCCCGGTCGAAACAGGTTTTAATGTCTGGTACGACTCATAAACTGAGATTCCATGATATTACAAAAAGAATGAATTTAAGGAAAAATTCGTATGCATATGATTACGAATAACATTAGACATAAAATATACTTCAAAGACAGAAAATTTTGAATAATATTGTTATTTTCTTTACATTTTGACAATATTTTTTTAAAAATTTGTCAGGCCCGCAACTAGACCCGCGGCTTGCAATCGTGTTAGCATTTTTCTGCCCGCAGCCCGCATTTTTCTGCCAGCAGCCCGCATTTTTTGGGCCGCAATTTTTGGCCCGCAGCCCGCATTTTTCGGCCAGCAGCCCGCATTTTTTGGCCCGCAGCCCGCAATTTTTGGCCCGCAGCCCGCAACCCGCAGAATAGTTAAACTCGTTACACGGTGCAATTTTTCATGCAACTTGTCTCGCAATGTTTAAAAAAAGATTTTGATAATGCATTGCAAGAGGTGTTACACGCTGCAATGATTGTCATACAACTCGGCGCAACGATAAGGGACAGAGGCATGCGAAGAGACTAGGGAGAGGCGTCGTTTGACGCCAGATTTTAATTATAGTAAAGCGTGCACTGGGGAGAGCCAATAGGAACTCTCCAAGCTATAAACATTGCGAGACAAGTTGCACGAAGCCATGTTACACGCTGCAATGCTAAAAATAATTAGTGGAATCGTTGCCAAAAGTAGAACCGACTTCTACTCTGTGCAATGCTTCATGCAACTTGTCTTGCAAAGATTTTGACCATTGCAAGGCATGTTAAACGGTGCAATGACTCGTGCAACTTGTCTCGCAACGTCATTGCGAGACAAGTTGCATGAAAAATTGCACCGTGTAACAGGGCCTTAATGAATAATTAGAATTGTCACATTTACGAAACAATGTTCTTAAGTAATTAGGCGCCATGTTTTTTAGAACTTTGAACATCATTGTTAGATGTCGTCTGTCCATGAGATTTTTTATTGGATGCCATTGAAGGGTTTCAAAAACTTAGGATGATCTAATAGTGTAGTCAGAACTAGTTATAACCCGTGCAGCTCTCTTTTGTAATTTTGATAATTTATCGATATGAGATTTGTTATTATCATTCCAAATAGTAGAACAATAGTTAAAATGTGGTAAGACTAATGAGTTATAAATTGTGACTAATTCTTCTTGTGAAGCAAAGTCTTTAGCTTTTCGTAAAAGGGCTATGCTTTTTGAGATTTTTTTACACTGTTCATTATTGCGTCTGTTCCATTTTAATTGGTCATCAATTATGAGTCCAAGAACACTTTTTCCCTTACCCTATTTATCTGATGTTCGCCATATAGTATATTTGGAGTTTCGAGGATTTTATCTAACCTTTGTTGTGATCCAATAAGCATATACTTAGTTTTCGTAAGGTTTAATGTTAACTTATTACTTATTAGCCATTTCTGAATATTGTCTAAGTCGCGGTTTAATTTGCATTCAATGTCTGCAGATGATTGCTCCTTACAAGGAAGGTTGGTGTCATCCGCAAACATGGAAGCCTTGGTTGTCTGTAGACAGTTTGGAAGGTCATTAATATATAAGTTGAATAATAAAGGACCTAGGTTTGACCCCTGTGGGACGCCACAATGAATTTCAACTGTATCCGACATGGCATTGTTTATTTTGGAAACTTGTTTTCTCTGATGTAGGTAAGATTTAAACCTTTTGAGAGGTGTTTCTCTTACTCCACATCGTTCAAGTTTTGCCAGGAGTAGAGCATGATCAACCGTATCGAATGCCTTTTTAAGATCTATAAAAACTACTCCGTTAATTAATCAGTCCTTTATCCATGTTTTCCAAATAATTGATTATTGAATGTAAGAGAGTAGTCTCTGTTGAATGATTTGGACGAAAACCGGATTGATTTTCGGCGATAACTTTGTTTTCATTCAGAAAGGTAATTAATTGGATATAGATAACTTTTTTGAAGACTTGAGCGACATTTGATATAATAGAAATTGGTCTATAATTACCGCAGTCTGTCTTACTTTCGGTTTATAGATTGGCGTAACACGAGCAATTTTCCAAACATCTGGGTATATTCCAGTATTAAAAGACAAATTGAATACATTTTTCAAGGACTTCAAAGTAGTTTCCCCTGCTGCTTGTATAAGTTTGACCGAGATTTTGTCAATTCCTGCGGACTTGCAGGTTTTCATACTGGAAATAATGCGGTTTAAATCCTCTTCTGATATTGTTTTGAAAGTAAATGAATTTGACATTGGATTCACATAATGTAAATGGTCAATAACGTTATCAGGAATTTCTTCTGCTATTTTTTTGCCTATACTTCAGAGAAATATTTATTGAATTCCTTTGCAATTTCTTCATCGCCTACTATAAATTGTTTTGCCGTTCATACTGGAGTGTTTTGCCGTTCATACTGGACTGACAAAATGATACAAAATTCCATGTATGTAACACCAAATCCAAGGCTAATAGATAAAACGAACAATCGACTCACTCTGATAACTTTTGACCTTCCGTCACTTCTGTGACCTCTTATGAAACCCAAGCTAATTGTCTGAAATTTTGTGCAGCAATTTTAAACACCCAAGACATTTTTCACCCACTAACTTAAAATACGACTAAAGCCTTTAAATCTCGTGCGCAAGCCCTGGTTTACAAAATTTGAGTTCGAGAAATTTTGAGTCTATCTAAAAATCGAAGGTCGAGAGTATAGGTCGAGAGTCGAGAATAAAAGTCGAAAGAAACTAAGTCGAGAGTCGACCACAAAAAGTCGAGAGTCGACATGCAGCAAAAATTCGAGAGTCAACAAATGTCATCAGAAATAACAAAGTCAAAATATCCAATATATAGCCGTTCAGTCACAAAGGCTGACTACAAACTTTCGCATAAATAAAGCTACAACAGTCAATAATAATTTAAATGTGAACAAAAAAGACTGGATAAGAAATTAATATCACATGTGATGCATCCATCTTGCTAAATTTTTTAACATGTCAATTTCATCAAATTTTGCTGCGTTTCAATCTAACTGACACATAAAAGGCTCCTCCGCTGAATTTTGACAGCCAGCTCCGGGCTTGTAACCTTGCGTCGCTAAATGTCGCTTGCAACTAAGTATGAACGGTCGGCCGATTTAAATCGGTCTGTATAGTTATATCCCCTTTTTACATTTGCGTATCCGACCGGCATATTAGCAAGTTTTTTGTGTGGTTTCTCGCATGTACGGTTTGTGATAAACTGATAATGAGTGAATGACACCTAAAACCCTTGCCAAAACACACTTTACTAATTTTAATCCGATTACAGTTCGAGGTGATAACAGAGAGCGGAAAAAACCCGCCAAATCTAGAATCGTCTTTTACGGAGATTGAAATATTCTCTGCAGATTGTCCCCACAAAAATAGTTTAGAAACGCGCACGTTTTATCCGATTCCCTCCAAACTTTGCCACAATGTTGAACAATAATTGTACAGGAGCAAAACCATGTTCGCGTTTTTTATTTAGTGCCATACTTTTCAAGTTATAGGCATCTGTTCTGCCGTTCTCCCAAAATTTTGATGAGTCAACTTGTCGATCTGCTTTATATCAAAGCAAATACAATACCTGTCAAAAAACGCGAACACGGTTTTGTTATTTGATCATTTGAGATGGGAAATATTATGTTTCGGAAGGGTAGGGATAAAACGCGGAACCGGAATGCGGATTCTGGAAGCGGATTCCGCAAGCGGATTCCGCAAATGAGGATAAAACGCGGATTCCGCATTTGAGGATAAAACGCGGATTCCGCAAATGAGGATAAAACGCGGAATTGCGTAAAAAAGGACGAGAAGCAGAATAGTGTATAAAAAACTTAAATTATTACTTTTTAAGGTCACAACCACTAAAAAGCGATTGGCTAAAGTTACCTAGTTACCCTAGGCCTAACTGTTGAAGTCTCACATGCATGCATTAGTGTTGGGGGTGGGGGAGGACTGTGACTTTTTGGACTATTTCTTAAAATTATGGAGGGAGGTGGAAAATCGTATTTATCAAGAGCGTCTTCATTTTTATCTAAGTTTCTTTGTTAATGCTAGTAATATTCGGGCTTCGATGGCGCAGGCGTCAGAGGAAGCACCTTTCACCTCTGAAATCGTGGGTTCGATTCTCGCTACGGATTCGATGTGAAAAGAGTCTGTCAACGCTCCGCCAAAAGTCGTGAGTTTTCTCCGGGTGCAAATAGAGCAGAAATCAATTCAAAGTAGCTAAAAATACGACTTATACGCAAGACGCTTGTTGGGAACAGATTAATATGAACTTTGTGTCGGATTACTAGGTGTTTATGCATGGTTTTTGTTGTATTGCTAGGTGTTGTACGCATTGTAATTAAGGTTTCCTTTAATTTAATTAATCCTGCTGCGTTCCAGACTTTAGTTCGAAGTTCGAACGCATAATATGAAAAATATCGGGTAAATATTCAGTTGGACATTTGATCGCTTACACGCGTTTGCTAAAACATGAATTATTTTAGCAAAAGCAGTGTGTGAGCGAAAAAATGGAAATTTGAATTGATAGATAGATAGATAGATAGATAGATAGATAGATAGATAGATAGATAGATAGATAGATAGATAGATAGATAGAGACTATCGCCGGTATTCTAAAAGCTCACGTTGAATCGGCAATAATCAACCATGGGCCATATCGACTGGCACCAAAGTTTGCACACCTGGAGGTTCCACAACAAGAATGGTTTTCAAAAAGCACTGCTCAAAAGGAGTCTAGCGTGGCGAAATTTCATAACGCTAAGATGTCTAGGGAAGGAGCCCAAATTGGTGAAGCACCCCAAACGCAGCGAACAGATCAAATTGAATCGCGAGTTCAGCTGACAGTTGATCTACAGACTCAAGGAATTACATGCGTGAGCCCAACAACTCTGCAATATATAACGAAGAAGGCAGAAACTATTTTGAACAAAGATACTGCAATCGTGCAGGCACCTGGATCGGTTTATGGTACTGCATTCATGGTTGAAAGTACCACGACGGTTCGTCCACATTATGTTACGAAGGCCACAAATGGAAAAATAACATGTAACGATTGCCCAAATTGGAAGGCGTATAAGTTGAGTTTCCATTCGTTGGCTCTTGCTGAAAAAACGGGAACAACCTTGAAGTATCTCCAATGGTTCAAGGAAAAAGGTCCCAATCAGATAAATTTAACCACTCTAATAACCTGTGACAGTGGCAAAGGAGTTGGGAAGAAAGGCAATAAATCTTCAACGGCACGGCGAAAAGATGGAAGGTCTGGCAAAACTGCACCGACAAACACTGTAGATCGTCTTAGTGGGTTATCTAACTTTGTCTCGACACAGGCGCCAATTTCATCGGTGGAAAATCTAAACAGAGCAACTAATGTAAACACAGTTGAAACGGCCATCCTGCGACCACCATTACCACCAGATATAATTAATGCAGTACGGTACCATCCATCAACACAAACATTTCCAACAGCACCAATGAGATCCGTGCCACAACATTCTGCACCATATTCCAGTCCACTCCCGGATATAACTACCGCCCGTGGATTTTCCGTAAACCTATTGCAGTTCTGTCCAGCTTTAGTTCGATCATGTTATGGTTGCGCGCAGCCCTTGAAGCCTGGCGGTGTCATTGGTACTCCGCCTTATGATCTAGCTATTGTGACACGGATGAATAGGGAATTCCCTGATCCAGTAACGGGCGTGATACGATCGAAAGAAGGAAACGTTTATTTCCATGTTCATCTAAACTGCTTAAGAAGAAAGCAACCTTATTTTAACCCCCAGATGGCAATTATTCCACGCGAACTATTTCAGCAACTATGACCAGAGCACCTGCGACTTTTGCAAGAGTTTGGCGCTCTTATATGATGGGGATATTCCACGAAGGCTATTTCACAAATTTAAATTGTAAACGCCTCTTGCTTCGTTCTGTTTGGATACGGTTTAGTTTAGTTATACAACTAGGACCCCGACTCAGACAATTGAGGATTAGAGACAATTGGTCAAACAATTTGGGTTAAATATCAAACTTTGGATATCAGACTTTTTACACTATAACATCGCAAGCGTAACTTACAGTGGTCTTGGGGAAAAATTTAAGAAATTCTAAATTTTGGTCATTTCAAATATGTTTTAGATTGATTGTATATTGATTGTATATTACTTGCGGACAAATATCGAACGAGCGAGAATATGAATGTCCCACGTCCCGTGTGAGATTGCCTTGTTTGAGAAAATTGGCAGTAAAGTTTTTAATTCCAATAACTTACATAGGACAATAGAATTAGTATAGGAAATTGCACGAGTCGAGAAGTATTAACGAAAAATTGCACGCGTGCATGGCGAAATATTTATAACTTACCGGGAATGCGTAGCATGAGCGGTATTATCCATATTTTGCAATTACACAAGTGCAATTTTTCATCAATACTTCGAGAGCAAATGTAATTTCCTATAAATATCATTATAGTTTATTTACTACACAAAGTAAACATTTTAATTATATTGAATTTTCTGCGCGCGAATCGTGCAAATTAAAATTAATAACCGTGTGCAAGTAATGTTTAATTTGCACACTTCTTAGACCTTTTGAACCGGTTTCGTATAATCATATTTTGGTGCTTAAAATATACTGTTGCTATTCAGTAGGAAACATGCGAAGACTGACTGCATTTCTTTATTTTTACAAAAAAGTACTGAATATTGGAATTTTTTGTCCAAGACCACCATAAGCGCACTTATTTGGGTTACTTGTAATTCGTTTGAATGCAGTTAAAATTAAGAAAGGGAAAATTTTGCCAGGTAAGTTTTTCAGTGGTTGTGGCATTGTGCAAGGTGATATGAATCAATTTGTAACTTGATCAAGTAGAGCATAAATTAAGAAATCAATTCAAATTTCCATTTTTTCGCTCACACACTGCTTTTGCTAAAATAATTTCTGTTTTAGCAAACGCGTGTAAGCGATCAAATGTCCAACTGAATATTTAACCGATATTTTTCATATTATGCGGCAACTACTAAAGGAATGTTGATACGCAATTAAATTAAAGGAAATCTTAATTACAATGCGTACAACACCTAGTAATCCGACAAAAACCATGCATAAACACCTAGTAATCCGACACAAAGTTCATATTAATCTGTTCCCAACAAGCGTTATATGTCTTGCGTATAAGTCGTAATTTTAGCTACTTTGAATTGATTTCTGCTCTATTTGCACCCGGAGAAAACTCACGACTTTTGGCGGAGCGTTGACAGACTCTTTTCACATCAAATCCGTAGCGAGAATCGAACCCACGATCTCAGAGGTGAAAGGCGCTTCCTCTGACGCCTGCGCCATCAAAGCCCGAATAATACTAGCATTAACATAGGAACTTAGATAAAAATGAAGACGCTCTTGATAAATACGATTTTCCATTATAATTTTAAGAAATAGTCCAAAAAGTCACAGTCCTCCCCCTCCCCCCCCCAACACTAATGCATGCATGTGAGACTTCAACAGTTAGGCCTAGGGTAACTAGGTAACTTTAGCCAATCGCTTTTTAGTGGTTGTGACCTTAAAAAGTAATAATTTAAGTTTTTTATACACTTTTCTGCTTCTCGTCCTTTTTTACGCAATTCCGCGTTTTATCCTCATTTGCGGAATCCGCGTTTTATCCTCAAATGCGGAATCCGCGTTTTATCCTCATTTGCGGAATCCGCTTCCGGAATCCGCATTCCGGTTCCGCGTTTTATCCCTACCCTGTTTCGGAAGCCTTTGAGTTAAATCAGAGGCGTTCTAATCTCGTGGCGCAAAGGCCGTCATATTTGCAAAAGCAACCCGTAGCAAGTACAGTTTTTAAAGATGCAGAATTTTTGGCAAATCGTTAGCTACAGCAATGATTGATCATTATGCATGCAAAATTTCGGAAGGGAAAAACTTTAAAATTGAGCGCGCGGTGAGCATTTTGGTGAAATGGGCTTCCACTAATCATGTGGAGTAACCTTAAGTGCTTTTGACAAACATTGAAGAAGATTCTCACGCGAACAGGCAATGCCGTTTTTAGCAGCGACCGTTCATCCTTACTTCTTAGTTGCAAGCGACGGTAAAATGGCATTTTATTTGACAACGTACGTTATAAACCGTATATTAAACCAAAGCGTATGAAGTATTCTACGTTGAAGTATTCTAACGATTCATACAATTACGAACTTATATCAGTACGAGCCTCAGTAAAAAGAGGACTCTTTTGTCGTTTATGTGTCATTAGATTGAAATGATGACATTTGTTGACCAGTCTCGACTTTTTGCTGTCGACTCTCGACTTTTTGCTGTCGACTCTCGACTTTCTGCTGTCGAGTCTCGACTATTTACCGACGACTCTCCGACTTTTACTCTCGACTTTTACTCTCGACTCTCGACTTTTACTCTTATACTCTCGACCCTCGACTTTTAGATATTTTTCAACATTCGATCTATACATTATAAGTACCTAAAGAAGCTACATATATTAAAAACTGGATGACTATAATAGCTGTTTTCGAAATTGAGAGCAATATCAAATATGTTCAGGTTTTTTTTATATACACCCTGTTATTCTAGTTTGTAACACTAGTAGGCTACATATATACTTTCTTTATATTTTTAAGAAAGGAAATCCCCTGTATTGTGCACAATTTTAACAAGCAAATCCTACGGAACCAACAGAATTATCTTCGGCATTCGGAAATCAATCTTCGTAGACATTCTCCGAAGGCACCCTGCAGGATTTCACGGATATCCGATTGCGCATCCCCTTGAGAATGTGTTTGGACTTGAAACGCCAAGCGGATAATATACTAATTGGAATGAGCATATTGTATGGACGGAATTGTATGGCGCAATACTGATTGTCACATATAGGCACAGAATTAAGATCCCAAGTGAGTAATATGTAGTTTGTAACTTGTAATTTAACTTGTAATTTAACTTAGTTTTATAAGTGTAATTTTACGGAGATAATTAGTATATACAAATACAAAGCATAACTTTCGACTGCAGCTGCCACACGTTACACATAACTGCCGTACGCATAAATCACACGAATAATGATTTCATGTATAACGTGTATAATGTAAGTAAAGTAACAAAATTTGAATTTCATTCATAGACATTGACATTGACATTGACATTGACAATGAGCTATATCTGTATACATACAATACTGATCATATTATATATATCATACAATGCTACATGATATATTCCAAAAGAGATTTTCAATATCAATTCACAAAATAATTAAGATACAAATAATAAAGTCAATACCAAAGGCCGAAACGTAAACAATGAACAATTCAGTAAAATCATAATAGACATTAAAATCTAAAAATCGTATGCAGCAATTGTATAACTATAAACGAGACCGAGCAATTAATTTCGAGCGGAGTGTTTTGTCTGTTCCCTTGATCAAATTGGTTCAGGAATCCGTGATAGTATAGTCTGGTCAAAAGAGGTTCTCTGAGCCGTAGACGTTCTTTTACATGAGCATGAAACATTAATATATCATCCACTTATAACACACTCAAGTCTATATTTTAGTATATTTTTGTCTAATTTACCTTTCTGCCACTAAAAAATACGTGACATTCCACCTGTATCAAATGACAGGGACTCAGACAAACAAACTCGGGCGCCGGGAGGTACTGTATTGTAATTACACTGACCTAAGGTCAAGTGTCTTAAATCCCTAATTTTCTGTTTTCTTCTGTTTTCTTCGTCGTCGAGAAATCGAGTTTGCGTTCGCGCGTCGCAGGCTCAGGGTGCAACCCTTACGAAAATTTCCTATAGGAAATCAAAATTCCTATAGGAATTGAAAATTCCTATAATTTCTACAACCTCGTACCCAGGGCTAGTCGCGAATTGAAGGCGGCGACGTAGCCCTGGTAAACGCTGGTCACGTGACTCCAACATTACGTAATTGTTACTTTTCTCAACCGGGGGGTGAACAGGTGAAACTCGAAGACAAACAGTTTTTATCTCCGAAATTCTTCAATCTTTCCTGTGAATTTTGCATTTCAAGCTTTTCTCAAAGTGCGGCGATCGATCAAATGGATCAATACTTTCTGTAGAAAAAACTCAGTGAGACTTGTTCCAATGAGACGTTTAAAAGACTTGGATATGTCGCTAAAGACGCTCGATCATTGCACAGGTTTATGGTTTAGTACTTTGTTCAGTTTGTTGCGACTTGCGAAGCAAATGAATGCAAATTCAACTCTTGTATAATGACTAAAAGTTGGTTTGTAGAGGGACAACTTATACAAAAGATATGAATACATTAGCTTCAAACTTGGGACAAGTTCATGGACAATCCCCTAATATATGGACATTGACATTTCACCAATATGTAAATATGACTATTAAATATATAAAAGGATTGCTGTTGTATTACTTGTATATGTATATGTATATGTACAAGTGTTGTGCTGTGGTATTTACGTTTTTAACCCTTTAAGTGGCAATGGGCCATCCATTTTATATACCCCCCCACCCCCCATGGACTAGAATTTCTGAGTTGGTTGAAAAAGCTATTTCTAGGGGTTGTGCGCATCCGTAACCTTTGATCTCTGCATTTTTTTCTGAGAGATAAGGCAAAAATTTCTTAATTTCTGGGGGGGTATTGGTGTCAGCACTTTGATATTTTTTCTTAGGGGGGGTGTACATCGTCCATAGGTGGTGTGTACATTAAATGGAATGGCCCAAAGCAGCCAGATGCGCCCTACTTTGTTAGTTTACTCTGTCTAACATCAGACAATTTTACTCATCAGGTGGAGAGTGCATGGCGCCACTCAATGGGTTAACATAG